CCTCTGGATGTGACCATCTAACCAATTCCTCACCCTTTACCGGACAGTCCACCCATCAAATCCATACCTCTCCAGTTTAGAGAGAAGGATGTTGTGGGGGACCATGTCAAAGGCTTTACAGAGGTCCAGACAGACGACATCTGTAGCCCTTCGCGTGTCCACTGATGCAGTCACTCCATCATAGGAGGCCACTAGGTTGGTCAGGCAGGACTTGCCCTTGGTGAAGCCATGCTGGCTGTCTCCCGGGTCTTTCTTTTTTCCCTTTTTAAAAGTGGGGGTTATGTTTCCCCTTTTCCAGTCAGTGGGAACTTCACCGCACTGCCACCACTTCTCAAATACGATGGATAGTGGCTTAGCAACTTGATCTGCCGGTTCCCTCATGACCCACGGATGGATCTCATTGGGTCCCATGGACTTGTGCACCTTCAGGTGCCTTAGATGGTCTCGAACCTGATGTTCTCCCACAGTGGGCGGCTCTTCATTCTCCCAGTCCCTGCCTTTGCCTTCTGCGGCTTGGGCGGTGAGGGTCAAGCACTTAAGATGGTGGGACTGGTCACTGCTGGAGAGCCCGGCCGGAGGGAGGAGGGGGGCAGCGCTCGTCGCCGAGATCCCCGCTGCTGTGGGTGCTGCCAAGGTGTTGCCAACAAACCTTTGAATTTCAGACCAACACATACCTTTGAACACTTTTTGAACACTTTTCAAACACTTGCTGTTGTGTTTTTCCATAGGGAAAAGTTACTTCTGCTGGAAAGCGGAGCTGCCCTTGCTTACCTCCTCGCAACGTCTTCGGGGGGGGCCTGTTTAATGCCGTGCCTCACCCCGCAGCACGCCCCACGTCCTGCACAGGCTCTGCAAAGCCTAGTTGTCTTTACTCACAGGAGCGACGCTCCCGGGCATACCCACCGGGAAGCGTTCTCCACCGCCCACCCGGCGTGCCAGACGGGGCTACTTGTATTTCTCACGCTTTTAGCGCTGCCGTTTTCGGGAGATTTGCGGGGGGGGGGGGGGGGAGGG